GAAGAGCCACCGCCAGCCCGACATGCCGTTCACCTGGTTCATGTGCCCGATGCCGTACGCGATCGCGCCGCCAAAGGCCCCCGCCAGCGTCGCGCTGGCCAGGATCATGGCGACCCGCACGCTGCGCTCGTCGTGCTTGTACCAGAACGTGAGGTAGTAGACCAGGCCTGGGAACAGGCCAGCCTCGAAGACGCCGAGCAGGAAGCGCACGCCGGTGACGGCCGGGCCGGTCTTGACGCCGCCGAGGCCGATGGTCACGGCGCCCCAGGAGAACATGAGGAACGCCAGCCAGCGGGAGGGGCGCAGCTTCTTCAGGAGCATGTTGGAGGGGACCTCGAAGAGGGCGTAGGCGATGAGGAAGATCATCAGCGCGATGGTGAAGTCCCTGTTGGACATGTGCGTCTCGGATTGCATGTCGTGGCCCGAGGAGGAGTTGAGGATCTTGGCGTTGCCGATGTTGGAGCGGTCGAGGAAGCAGAGGAAGTAGATGCCGGCGCATATTGGGATGATGCGCTTGTCTTGCTTCCAGAGCAGAGCTCTGTCTTCTTCGCGGGAGGAGGATACGGGCGAGGATGGGGCGATGTCCTGTCATCGTCATGTCAGCGCGACACTCCTCATCGTGAATGAAGTCTGTGATGCAGTACCTCTTTCATCGTCGGCGACTCGACATCGCGAGGGCCAACGCCCTTCTCATCCGTCGTCGCCATCTTGCTGTAGCTGTAGCTGTAGCTGGCGATGGTGATGTAGTTGGCCTTGACAAGTCTTCGCAACAGGGCACTCCCCTCAACAAGTCTTCGCGTGAAAATTGACTTTCAAGCCACAGGAAGAATCTGTTCCGCCCACCGGCAAACTCACTTCACGACAAAAACCTTCGCTGAACAACAAGCGACGACTGGACCGCCGCCCTTTTTGATCGGCCGAGTCCATCCAAACCCCGCATACGCGGGGAAGCTTCTAAGCTCCTCACACCCGCACTTCGTGCCGCCCAACCACCATGTCCCCGTGCCGTAGTCCCGCATGTCGGTAGTGTCGTCGGTGGATCTTCTTGTGTAAGATCTCGCGAATCAAAGGCGGTAGTGTGCTGCGAGATTCGGATTGTTTTGTTGGACTGATGCATGTGTGACCAAACTGGTCTCTACAAGCGCCGGGGAGTCACCGAGGCCGGACGATGTGGCCCGGGTGTTGGTTGACCGCTCATCGTGGACCCTGGATCGACTGCTTCGTGCAAGGAGCTGCGAACCAATGGTTTTGGTGATTGATATCGATGTTTGCTTTTTTTACGGTTGGTGCTCAAATGAGGTGAGGGGAAATGATGGCAGTACGATTGCATAAGCAGTTTTCCAGTTCAGGATTTGGAGAAGAGGAGGCGGCGTTCCCGCACCTACTACGCATCGCTCTACTCCCATCTTGAGTTAGTCTTCTTCTTACCCAAGCTATCTCGCTGCTCGACTATTCCCACCATCGCATCGCTCGTAGATAACTTTCCGCTTCATCAGCTTTCGTTCGAAGGGCGTACCATTCCGGGCACCACAAGTCTGCGCTTAGCCGCGATCGAGACAATGTCTAAACGATTGCGCCCAAGATAGATGACCTCAGATTCCAAGCGGCTCACACTTGCAGTTATTCGGGCTTAGGTCCTTGATCACATGCGCTCCGCGTAGCCACAAAATGAACAGAATTAGAACATGCACGAGCCCCAAATCCAAACTTCTCGAACAGCGTGTCCGATGAGTCCGTCGATACCACATCCACCGCCTTAGACCTGATCAGGCCTCGAGGCTCAAAAACACGGACTGTGCGGCGAAGCCACCAGCTCCCTCAAATTACATACAAGTACACAACACGCACAATCTCGACGATGCATTAACATCCAATTCCAACTCGCATTCTTCAGTGAATAACAAACCGTCCTTAGCCAGCCCTACGTGGCTTAACCCCTTGATAGTGGCGCGCCGATCTGGCGGAGCTTGTGCGCCGACTTTCACATGCAAGCTTCTTCTCTGTTTATTCCATTTTGAGACAGCTACTGCTGATAAGCGTGCTTGTGTTTTTTTTTTTTTTTTAATCTGGCATGGTAAACATAAACACCATGTCGCGCTCATCCTTTGCCGCAGGAAGGAATCTTTCCTGAAAGCCCCTCCTCCGAAGACAGAGAAACCACCGCCTGGTGAGAGAGCATCCTGCCGACATGGACAGCCCGACGATGGAGAACTTTATCGACTGCGCACATCATGCTGCGGTGTCCGACGAAGAGAACTTTCCTGATAGGAAGAGGCTTGTCATCTGCTGCGATGGGGCGTGGAACAGCTCGTATACTGCCCAGAATACACTCCTCTTACACCAGCGACTGACCCAACATACCAGGAACATTGGCAGCAATGCCATACCGACGAATATTAGTCGACTGTCTGCGGCCGTGGCACATAAATGCTGTACCGGCATGCCGCAGGTTGTGTATTACCACCGCGGTCCCGGAACCGACGAGTCAAAGACGACCAGCGTCCTCGAAGGTCTTCTCGGTCTAGGAGTTCGACAAGTAGATCGCCCCTTCATGATCTCTCAAATTTCATATTACTAACCTAGTTTGCCAACAGGACATTGTCGATTGCTACCGCTTCATCTGCGACAACTACAACCCCGGAGACGAGATCATCATCCTGGGCTTCTCCCGGGGCGCATTCACAGCCCGATCCATCTCCTCCATGGTCTGCTCCCTAGGCTTCCTCAACCGCACCGGCCTCCGCCATCTCGCAGACATTTACCAGGACTACCAGTCGTTCAACGAATGGACCAGCGAGTTCCTGTACGACCCGAGCAAGCATCTCCGTGCCTTCACTGTCGAGCAGCTGGGGAGAAGAGTCAAGAAGGAGTTCATGGATAAGATGGAGAGGATTGAGAGGAAACTCGACGGCCGGGGCTATGAATCTGATGAACGGAAGAAACAGCTCGGGGAGGAGTTCGCCAAGCTGTATGCAACATATGAGAGGAGGCTTAATCCAGAAGCGCTGAAGAAGAGGCTCGAGAGGGAAAAGGCGGAGCTATTCAAAAGAATGACGCAGATGAAGAAAGATAATGGGCAGATGAGGTTCCGGAAGATGGCAAAGGCGTACCGGGGACAGCTCTCCGAGGTAAGGAAGCTTCTTCTCCCTCCGATCGAACTCTTCACTGACAACGACAGTATCAAATGTGTCTCACGAGGAGGAGTAGCATGCAGGCCCAAACAACATTCGAAGCTGTGGAAGGAAGAGTGAAGGCAGTTGGTTAGTCTTCCTGCTTCTCTGATGCCAGATATTTTGCTAATACAGTCGATTGCGGCAGGCGTTTTCGACACCGTTGGTAGTTTCGGTATCCCAAAGATGCCGTGGTCCTTCTGGGAGGGCAGTGCCTCAGAGGTACGATATCATTCATATCGGGAGGGGTAAATTGTGAAAAGGGCGTGTTCTAACATACTCAGCAGCTTCGATTCGCCAGTCTTGATGTTCACCCCAACGTAGACCATGCCTTCCAGGCTCTCGCCTTGGACGAATCGAGGACAGCCTTTGCGCCAAGTCTATGGAACTTAAGCCCGAAGAATCACAACACTCAGCTGCGACAAGTTTGGTTCCCTGGATGTCACAGCAATGTCGGCGGGGGCTCTGAATCTCAGCAAATTTCCAAGATAGCACTAGCATGTCAGTCGATTTTATCCGCTACGACGCTTTTGCAAAGCTAACAAATCTTGCAGGGATGGCGGATCAACTCACATCAATCGGAGTCGAGTTCAGCAAGCAGGAAATGAAGCGCATCTTCCGCACCATCCCATCCCCAAGCGACGCTCGTCCCTGGGGTCTCGGCAAGATCACCAGCCCAGACAGCCTCGTCACAACACTCCCCGATGCCGCTTGGAACGCAGTCACCCTGCCATACCGAACCGTCACAAACCAATGGACAGAGAGCTCCACACGCAAGCCCGGCTTATACAGAGACGAGCTCCGCGACAAGGCCCTGGCCAACACAGTGGAACTCATCCACCCCTCCGTCCGCGTGCGCTATCTCTACCACGGCCTCGGCGTCGACGACTCGGGCGAGTGGCAATGCAAAGCCCTCTCCGGCCGCGGCTGGCAGCTCATGTTCGAGAAGAGCCCGCCCAAAGAGGAGAACATCCGCCCGGGCCGCGACCCGAACGTCATCGACCAGTACAAGACCACCACCGGCTCCGTCACCGCCGTGTACGAGCAGTACCCGCGCGACCACCACGAGTACTCCGCCGAGGAGAAGTTCATCAAGGCCGAGCAGCCGCTCGAGTCCGACCTCAAGACGCTGGACGCGCCTAAGAACACGTGGACGTGGCGGCTGCGGCACGGCGACCGCCAGCTCGTGCTGCCGGAGGAGCAGGTTGGCATGTGGGAGCGCATGTACATCGAGATCAACGATGACATGGTCAGGTGGCAGAAGATGACGATGGATGAGCGCAAGAAGCGGTGGAGCAGGGGCGACCAGATCAGAGACTTGGCGAGGGAGAGCGTGGCTTTTGCGTTTGATGCGGTTGATCAGATCGTGAAGACGGCGGTTGGTACTGTGTTTGGTGGGCCTCCGGAGAAGTATCTTCCTAAGGGCTACCCGAGCGAACACGGCTATCATGATTTCGTGTCGTGGCAACGCGGTCTAGAAGACGACAACTCGTTTGATTCAAGAAGGATCTCTGTTGGTTCTGAGGGATATGGGAGTTGGTGAGCATATGCTTTGTACGATTTGACGTTCCATGGGTAATGATAAAGTAAGTAAAGATGACGAAGGAACGCGATATTGGCCAGTTGGAGTTTGCTTTGGCTATCTCAATGTATCATAATTGCGAAAGGCGTTGGTTGGAGATTTTGGGAACGACTCCCCATAATATTATGTTTCTTGGTGACGACCGCAAAAAAAAAAAAAAAAAAAAAAAACNCAAAAAAAAAAAAAAAAAAAACGACATCCTCCGCATTCTATCTGTCTTTCAGTATTAGGAAAATCTCCTACCGGTATCACACATATCTCTGGCCTGGAATATGCGTCCCGCCCAGGTCCTCCGCCGATGCCATGCCTGTAAACCCAACACCAGCCCAGTCTCCCACCGATGCGCCCATCCCATCCATGAACAGTGATGGGTCAACGATGTCATAGACATCTGGCCCCCAGGCCATATCAAATCCCCAATTACCCATGGTCGAAAAGTTCGCTGGGATGTTCCCCTGCATCTCAACCTCGCCCATTCCATCCTGTTCGCCACCCTCATCATCTTCATCCTCCTCCTCCTCTCCTTTGGACACCATTTCGGCCCACCTCCTCTGTCTAATTTGTGCAATCCTGACCTTTGTCGCACCCAGAGTGTAAATGTTACCCCTCCACGGCCCAGAGTCAGCAGACACCGCCGCCATGGTAGCGTCGACCTCCTCCAGCTGAGTAGCCACTTTGTTGAGGATATCCGCTACGTCGATCAAGAGCGCCGGCTGTCTCGATAGCTGGGCTCTCAGCTCAGCGAGGACCTGAGGCAGACTTGTTTCCGGTGCAGACTGATCCTGCGAAGGCGACTTGGAAGATGTCGAAGGCGTAGAGATTGAGACAGGAGTGTTGGGGTTGATGGCTGCCTCCATCGCCGCCAGGGCTGCGTTCGGATTATCGCTCGACGGGTCGGCAATACGTGCAAGCTTTGAAGGTTCACTGTTACTTGCGGCGAGCCATGCCCAGCGACTCATCATCACCACCGCGTAGATCAGCTGCAACGCCATTGGGAGAGGGCAGGGGTAAAAGGCAGAGATGGGAATTGCAAGCCATGCGTCGAACCATGATTTCAGCGCAGCGTTCGCCTGATAAAAGATATCCAGAGCTGAGTTGTGACCTGAAGTGAGGGACTTGAGGGAATTTGAGAGGGATGCGAGGAGTTCAGCGTCGATCTTTGGTGGCTCGTACAGCCGGAGCCGTGCAGTGGCCATTTGGACTTTCAGGAAATCTGACGTTAGTTAGCGTGACAGTCTGCATGTAGTGACTTGGAAGACTTGCATTTATCTTCCAGAATGGGAGGCATGTTGTCTACAAGCTTGTCCAGCTCGGCCTGGAAGCTGGATGCGTAAGCTGAGATCGGGGCCTTTGGAAGTCCCAAGCCCCCATCCCAGTCTTCGTTTGCCCGAATCTGGGATATTCTCTCTGCTAAGCGCTGGACTCTGACAATGTAGATGACGTGAATGTCTGACTCGAACTCCATTGTCTCGTCAAGTTCACGCAAGCATTGCTCCATGTATGCCGAGAACCTCATGGGGTCGATTTGCTGGACGTCCAAGGAGACACTGCCAATGGTTAGTAATCCTGGCTAGCAAATGAAGATTCAGAGACTTACGATGAGCTGAGGTACCACACAGCCAACAGCAGTCTCCTCTCCTCATTCGTCCGCTGCTTCAGCTCGCAAGGCCGCATGACGATAAGCCTTGTCCGCTCCGTCAAGCTAGGGCCCCGCTTCAGACCCAACTCTCCGAGGAGACAAGCGGCCTGTGAGACGAGCATATCGAACTGAGCATGCGCAATACAGTGGTGGTGGAACCATCCAAGGATGACCACCAGACCCAGCAGAAGATCCATCGATCTCTCAGACCTCAGGACCATATGGTCAGCGATGTAGCTGAGTAGACGGTACATCTGCCCGCGCATCGACCTTGGGCTCCTGATAGATGCGACCATACGGATAGATGCCATGAGGAAAGGTCGTGTCGCATTGAGCGTGCTTGCTGTCACTCCTGCAGGTATGATCACAAAAGGGAAGTGCGGCGCCATCTCGTCTCTGTAAATCCCCAGCAGGTTGTCGTCTGTGTCGGGAGGGCCAGGGGCCTCACCTGGTTCAGCACGACATATGCATGTTGGTGGTACGAAGCAGTTGTATATCTCAGGTACTTGGACAGGACCTGCATCTAATACGTTGCTAGATGGCTGCCAAGGGGATGAGCGGCATTGTGTCAAGAAGTCCGGATGGCCGGCAGGTAGTGTGGTTTCGTGGTTCGGTATCACGATGGGACGTCTAGGCGGATCTCCTTCAGGGTGTTTAGGGAGACCAGAGACATTGCCTGTTACTCTCAAGGAGGTTACGAGACGGTTCAGGCGCTCTTCAAGCTGCTTGGTTTTACTGTCATATCCGTGTTAGTAAGATGATGGATTCACTCATTTAGCAGCTCACTCTGACATCGAAGAAGTGATTGGGACGCCCAACTTCTAAAGAGCGAGGGCTTAATAAGATGCTTCAAGGGTTTGACTTACGAGGGCTTGCTCTGCCTCTTCTTCCGTGGCTTGTGTACCTGCTCTGTACAGTTTTTGTACAGCCTATCGCACCTGCTCAGGCGCCAAATAGCAGCAGCACGTCAGTGAACTGTATCGTGGAGTGACCAGAGGGCCTCAAAGCCATCCTATCATAAATGAATAGCTGTCCCAAACTGGCATCTTCTCCTTATGTGGCTTCACACGGGGCTTCCGGGTTGGTGCGGTAATTGACCCCGGACCAGGGGTTCTCGGCAAATGTCCGTTCCCTTCACAGCGAACCGACCGTTCGAGATGCTAGCACTGAGATGGACCTTGAACATACCTATCACATTTCGATCCAGGCTTGCTGTTCGATCGGAGGCACTTTGCTTTCGCCGTCGCACACGGAGCGCAAGCGGCACCCCATCTGGCTACCGCCGGCGCCCGAGGGCGATCCGGAGTAGAGCCCGTCGATTGCGCTGGAGAAGACGCCGCAGACATCCTCTTCGTCTTTGGAGGAGATACCCGTTAGGACTTGAATGAAGGCCGGATGCTTTGCGGATGAACCGGGAACTTTTGAAATTCCCGTCTGCCTTCGATTTCTCGTTGATCCACGTGTGAAGCTGGTGGCGACAGAAAGTGAGATCGGGACGTCTAATAAAGGAGTCTGCCCGCCGAAAAGACACCAGTCGTCGCCGTGTAAGAAACACTTGAGCTTAACAGGCTGAGGTAAGAATACTTCGCATCACCCTTTCTACTGCCACCACGCTGACGTTCGACCGGAGTTTTCAGAGGCTGGGCAAAACTCCGATCCCTGCCCTCAGGGCTGTGCCGTAGTGCAGGCGAAAATCACGCTAGTCCCGTCAGCGCAGATTCCTGCCATACGCAGTAGAGCAGGATTTGCAGCGCCCTGGAATCCTTCGCCCAGCACCTGCGGTATGCAATCGGCATTTAGCGAAAGCTCCGTTCGAGTGACGCCGCCTTGGCGCCGAAGTACGAGGCGTCTTGTCGACAAGGTTATATATAGACGGTGTCGAACGCGTCGTAGATGATGATGCGTCGCATGGCTGCGCCTTCTTTCATGATGAGTCTCAGACGTTGCGCGGGCGAGGGCTTCGATGCTTGGGCACAGGGAGTTGCCCGAAGCTGTACGCTGGCTACACGAGAGGCGTTGCGGGTTGGCCCGAGAGGCAGAGAGGTTATCAAAAGCCTCTTATGTCATACCATCGAAAGAGACACAACACGTGTGCTGACTAGGCGCGCCGGTCAGCCTCGGTTCACGGTACTTCAATGAGATGGATATATTACATTAGAAGGCATCCAAATCCCAAACATTTTGAAAAAGAAGTGAGCTAGGTCTTCCCGTCTGTGCGTCATACTCTGTCGATCATCATAACAAAACATATGGCAAATTGTACGAGCCCAACGCGGATGAAAGATCAGGGTGAAGAAAGTGAAAAGCCTCTTTATGGTCATAATCGCACCAATCGCGTGAAACCCAATCATCAGATAATACATGCAAGCTTCGCCCAGTGTTGGAGGCCGCATTTTGTACAGCAGGGATAAAGCCTGTAGGAAGTATCTTACTTCTATGTAGCATACAGCAGTACAATCTAGGACACTCTAATAAATGTGCCGTCAAATCATTCCTGACTCTTGTCTACAGATTGCCATCCACGTTGCGTAGAACAAATGGATGACCCGTCAAGCATCTGCCTACTGCTTGATCTGAGCGAAGGATTTAACGCCTACTGCTTGATCTGAGCGAAGGATTTAACGGTATCCAAGACACATTCTTCGAAGCTGTGGTACTTTAGGCCAAGCACCGACACGCTCTGGTGCGTATTGATTTGAAAGACCTTTTCGGGAAGCTCTACAACATGGAGTTAGCAACGGATTGTTTCGTACGGTCGTGGTCTGACTAACCGCCGCCCTTCTTGCACTTGGATGGCTGATAAGCTTGACGGGAAGGTGTCACGCAACACTAGCCGACATAGATAATCAAATCGTAACTAATAGTTCATCCCTGATCAGTCGAATCAATCCTCCGCCGTCGCCAGGCCAGAGTGGGTGTGGGCCGTCGTCCGTCACGGACGGCACGCGGTAGCGAACGGCACAAAGCTCGGGTAACGTGCTGCTGATTCAACCTAGCATGTCAATTCTATAAACACCACTTCGCGAAAGATTTTAATCTATCCACAAGACCAGACAATGACGACAAGACTGCGAGGCATAATTCCTTACACACCACAAAGACTGAGACGCAAGGCTACCTCCCTGGATGTGGACTTGATACTCTCTCCATTAAAGGCTGCCTAGAATCATACATATTAGCGGCGACGGGGGTTGTCACCACGTCAAGACTTGATCTCTTAGAGTACATCCTTCTGCAAGTCGTTGCCTTGCGTTTCCTGACTCCATGGACTGCAAGTCAGTGTTCACCACAGTATCTCTTATTGGCGTACTGAAATCTTCCGCCTGCCAGTGATTTGCCTGTCCTCAGTATATTTGGAAGAAAAGTCGCGGGACCTTCGGTGGTGACGGACGAAGACGAAGTTGACGAACGGAAATTGGCGGGGCCCTGGGACTCAACGGGTGCGCCTCCGGCCCTTCTTCCCAAGGTTTGAGCAGAGATTGCCTGAGCCGGTGCGTGGTTGAAGAGGGACGGGGACGAATTGGGCTGTCAATTGCTGGATATGAGCGATTCGAATTGTGCTACTTATACGTCGCGAAATTTCAAGCCTGTGGTGGAAAGAGGCTCCTGCCCCTCATGTATAGCAGGCAGCACGCGAGATGAAGCTTGATCATCATTGCAATTATAAAGGTCACTAGGAACAAGCAATTTGGCTGACTCACAACATCATACAAAATGAACGGCACCGTAAAGTATAGAATTCTATGGCGATGAATTACCATGATGTTATGTTATTGTGAAGGTGGTGTCAGATGCTCACGAGAGGTCGTTCCTCGTCAACACACTCTCGTCACCGTCTTCATCCACGTCTTCCCAATGTTATTCATCTCCTTCACTCACGTATATAACGGATCGGCCGTTAGCCACTGGAAGGCTTTCATATCAGACGATAACGGCTACATCGCAGGTCGGGCTTCTCGGGGTAACATTGAAGGTAGTGCTAAACAATCAACTCCTGAGAGCGGAGCAGGGCATTTGGGTGCTCATGAGCAAGAAAAGTCAAACGCATGGCAGCGGCAATAAATAGAAAGCAAGGAGTCTCCTACGTTAGAAAGGTACAGCAGTACAGCGGTCTTGTGCTTTGGACTGGGAAACGATCATACGGATAGGCTCACGTGGTAAGTCCGATCGCGCAATGCGTTGAATTACATCTATCGTGACTATGCGATAGCCTCTTCCCTACTCCCAATACATGTGGACGCATACTCTACGGATAGAGGAGACGGAGGATAACGCCGTGGCTGAAGAGAGAAGGAGAACAGGCTACCGGTCTCGCGCGACGTCTGCTCTGTCCAACCCGGCGTTTGATGGCCAAAGGTGAGAAAGAAGTCACAAATCCGTGATGATCTTATGGTGGCAGGAAGATCTCTGGAGGCAGCATACTTATAATATTTCAAGCCTAGAGAACGTCGAGATTGCATCAACATCATATGGCAATTGGAGAGGTTCTTGGTATTAATAAAGTTCCTGGATTAACGTATTGAAACAAACAGGACAGAACGCAGTTGTTGTCCGGGTATAGTATTATTCAACTCCATGTCTGGGGATCCCCTTTCCCCATTCGATAGCACATTGCTTCCATCGCGCATGTTCAACCGCAGCACACCGTAGCCTCCTTGGCGGCAGAAGTCGGTCCGTCGTAGAGCGTCTCCCACTGGAAGATGAAAGAACCGATGTAGGAGCCGAGGAAGATGCAGATGATGATGTAACCGTTGTAGTACATGGCGAGGCTAAGGGAAGAGTCAGTGATGCTAGAGAAAAGAGTGATGTTGAGAAACAAGCTTACAGCATGATGAAGTAGGCAACGGCAAATTGGACCATGTGGAGAAGAGCTCTGATAGCTTGCTGGAGAATGTTGGGTCGGAAGGGAGGGATGCCGGTCCCGTTGGCAGCAGCAACAGTGGTGGATGCGCCCTTGGTATGGTCACCAGCGTTCTCGGAGCTGGGAACACTGGAGCCGGCGTCGGCCCAGCGAGCCTGGTGGTTGCGGATCAGGTATCTATCGTACTCCTTGACAGCGCGGCGGAGCATCTCGAGAGACATGGTGAGGAGGAGGACTCCAATACAAGATCCGGCAAACATTCCGTTGGAGGTGATCTTCCACGAGGAAGCGATGTAGCAACTCCCTGCGGTCGTACGTCAGTAAATTTGCAATAATTTTGGCATAGATCGGCTAAGGCCAACCAATAGTATTCCAATTCCACAGCATCTGTTTGAAAGTTAGTCTTTAGTCTAGTGTTCCAGTTCCGAGTGAACAATGTTGGAGATGATGTTGAGTGGAGACAGTGACTTACAGAAATCTTGCAACCGCTGCTTCCCATGCCAGACATGGCAGCCTTGGTGCTAGTGGCAGCAGCCATACCGGTCATGGTGCCAGTGGCAGACATGGCGGTTGTGCTGGTGGCCATACTCATGCCGTCCATCTTGATATTTCGTCGACTCGGTGGTCGTGGATGAATCGATGTTGGAGTGTTGTTGAGATACTCGAATATCAGAGTTGAACGTCCAAAAAGCGGAGACTTTGATCTCGGATCGATACTAGCAGGGTATGCCTTGTTGCAGTCGGGTCGATGTGATAGAGAACCGGAGAAGAAAAGACGAACAGTTCTTAAAACGGCGGATCGAGGAGAGTTTAAATGGCCGCAGACCACAAGGTGCAGAGGGGATCATCAAGCCACTTGCCTAACACCAATGAAGGGGACAGAGCCAAACTTCGTACGTCCCCACATGCGCTGGATTCCTTCCCGAAAGACATCCAGCATCCAAGGATGCAGGTCTTGGCAAGAGCATGTAAGATTCGGTGGGTAGGGGAGGTACGGGGGCGGCCTGGGACTGGGATTGAGATCGCGGCCACCGGTGTAAAGTAAATGGAACCATGCGATTGACTCAAGGGGCTGGCTGGCTGCTATCAGATGAGAGGCTCCACTCCCTGGTTTAGCCAAATGTTGGGGGCAAGAAAAGCGATGGCTTTGGAATGAACGAATTAAACTTTTGAAAAGAGTTTTTTTTTGGGTGCTTCCTTCCTCCATCAACGTCGAGGCTCATGAGAGGAAGGAACATTCGAAAGGCCCTTCCTGCCGTCAGCGTTATCGTATGTTCCGGAAGGCGCAGGTGGGATCAGGTGCCAAGGCCAGAAAGCGCTATCGCTCCTTCTGCCTCACGCATCCTGAGAGCGTTTGAGCAAGTTTACTGCCCAGCCAAATGTCCAATTGCAGGCAGTTTGCACTTTTGGACTTTGCCCCCAAAACACCCCCAGCAGCAATCGCGTTGCCTCTCCACCCCACGTCCGACTTTCTGCACGACACCTCACCTCGAGCTTGACTTTGGCTAGTGTGAGTGGCTTCATCTTCTCCCCATGTCTCGCTCGTTGGCTCCCGCCATCTGCTGAGCCCTGCAGCGCCGCTAGTAGGCCCGGCTGGCCTACAGTCCGTTGCGTTGACAGCGTCCGCCCCCCCTTTTTTTCCCCGCTTATGTAAAAACATGAAAAAAAGCTAATTTTACGCTGTGACGCGCATTTTGCCGCATCGCACGTAAAACGCATTAAACTTATCGCTAGTACCTTAATCGCTATTAATTATTATAGTTATAATAGTATTTAAATATATAACTATATAATAGAGATATAAGGTGTATATCTAATACCTCTATAGTAGTTAATTTACTTATAGAGGTATTATTAACCTAGCTAGTTACCCTATCCCTATACTAATTAACTAATAAATCTTATAGGAGATTAGGATAATATTACTAAAGAATAGAAGAAGAGACCTATAGTATAGCTTTATATATCTACTTAGTATAGGTTTTATATAACTCTAAGTAATATAAAAGTATACTAGGAGGCTTAATATAATTCTTTAGAATAAATAGCTCTAGTAATTAACTAAAATAATAAATCCCTTAATAGCTTAGTTTATTTATAATATTAAGTAAGAGTTTACTACTATATAGATAATACCTAGTTATTTATAGTTTACTACTAATTAGTATATATCTATAGTTTATTATATTAGATATATTAAGAAAGATACTAAGTAATAATAATAATATAATAATACCTAGAATATTAAATCTATAATTATTAGTAATTATCTATATAGTAGTAAACTCTTACTTAATATTNGACTAAAAGACCTATAAACTAGTAAGTATTATTAACTATACTAAATAAATAATTTAATAATATAAATTATAATGTAATATTACTAGTGAGGTATAGAGATATAAAAAGTACTACTAAAGTTAATAAAAGATAGAAATATAATATTATATAGAGCTTCTTAAACTATTATAGTACTATAATAACCTATCCCTTAAAGAGATATAAAATTTCCTATTTAAAACCTTTAAGATCTAAATTAGTTATTCTATAATTAGTTAATAATTAAATATATCTAGCTAAATAAATAAGAAGTTTATAATTATTACTACTTAGTAAAGTAATAAACTATAATATAAGTACTTATACTATATATAATAATATTACCCTAATTAGCTAGTATTTATTAATAAATCTAATATTAATAAAGATATTAAGATATAGAGGACTAGATAGGTATTAAAAAAGCTTATTATATTTTAAACTATAGAGATTAATTAGTTTTAGAACTTTTATATATAAATCCTATTAGCCCTTATATTAAGTAGTATCTTATACTTAACTATATACTATAATATAACTAATAGTAATAAGTTCTTTTATTAACTATAGAAGTACTTTATCTTAAAGTATAAGTGTTTTCTAGAGCTAAACTCTATTATTATTATAGATAACCTCTCTTATTATTATATACCTAAAGTTAAGGATTTATACTAAGTATTAGGTATTAATCTTAAGTTTTTACCTCTATATTTACTAGACTTTAACTTTATTAAGGAGTACTTTAGTAATCTAAAGTAATATATTAAGAAAATATATTTAAAGTAGAATAATAATAAGAATAATACTTAAGATTTTATAGAATATCTATATAACTATACTATAGAGATTAAGTATTATTTACCTCAGATTAAAAGCTATTTCTACTATTTATTTATTAACTTTAATAAGATAGAGTATATATTTAATAATATTAAACTATAAAAGAGAGGATAAGCTATAAATATTAAATATTAATAAGTAATCTAAATCTTTATTATATAATTATAATAGATCTTAATTATATTATTATATAGTAGGAAATTATTAGATCTATAATTATAGCTAGTAA